TTATAAAACTCACCATTTTTGTCCTATACGGACACACATCTAGAAAATTCTAGCACATGGTGCTATATAACCTTGTGCTACTGAGAAGAAATTTCTAGCCGTTGTTCGATCGGCGGCTCAAGTGAAAAGGAAGCGCGAGGAAGATCGCAGATCAGGAACTCCGCATCAAGCGCTCCAAGCGGAAAATTTTCCAAGCAAAAAAGCTAGAGATGGGATTAATGAAATGATAATCGAGAAGTGATTTAATAAATACGATCGGACGGTGAAACCGTTACAATTTGAAGCTTTTTTTGAAATGTTAGAAAACTGGGAAATCATGCATTCCAAACGTGTTGTCTTTCTGGGTGATTTCAATTCTCCAAACTTGTGGAAAATAATTTAAATGACGCAAAGACCCGCTACATTGTTAATTGGCTCAACTTCTGGAACATGAAACAGTATAATAATATTCATAACCAATATGATAGAATCCTGGACTTAGTAATAAGTAACATTAATTGTATTGTTTATAGAGATTTAGCTCCATTAGTGGATGAAGACGTGTATCATCCTTCTTTGTCCGTAACATTAAAAACTGTCTGCAAAAAGAGTGAATACGTCACAGTCGGTACTGACCAAAAAGATATAATTTTAGACGTGCTAACTTTTTTTCGCTGTACAATCCTTTGTTATTGGTTAATTGGGATTTCTTGGATAACACTAGTGACACAAATGATGCAATTAATGCATTTTATTCCAAACTTTACGAATTATTCGATGCACACGCTCCACAATATAAAATTTCAGGCATAAATATCCCTCTTGGGACACCAGTGAAATTATAAAACTAGTAAAACAAAAAGACAAAGCGCACAAAAAATTTAAAAGGTCTGGTGCTAACGAAGATTACCAAGAATTCAGCAGAATCAGGAAAATATTTAAGCTTAAAACCAATGAGGCATATAATATCTATCTTCAAACCATTCAAAATCAGCTAAATGATGACCCTAAGTCTTTCTGGTCTTTCGTACATAGTAAAAACAACACTTCTAGGATTCCGAATAGAATGCTGTATGGAAACGAGTCATTTGGTGATCCGCAAAGTATAGTCAACGCCTTCGCTGATTTTTTCTCCAGCGTTTACTCAACTGCTAAAGTCGATACTGAGTTGAACTTTGATTTCAGTCATAGTGGACTCGTCGACATTAGTTGTGAGCCAATATCAGATGAGGAAATTTTAGTGGCCTGTAGAAAGCTTAAAAGTAAATTGACTGCTGGACCTGATCAAATCCCATCTTTTATTGTTAGAGATTGTATCAGGAAATTAGTTCATCCTTTACGGGTTATCTTCAATTTAATCCTAACAACGACTGTTTTCCCCGATAAATGGAAAATTGCCAAAGTTTGCCCAATTCCAAAGTGAAAAAATTATCACTGTATCAGTGAATATAGGGCTATATCTATACTCAATAATTTTGCAAAACTCTTGGAGATCGTACTGTACAACCGCATTTACCTGTCCACTAAAAATAATATTTCCATCGACCAACATGGTTTTATAAGGCAGCGTTCAACACTAACAAACTTAATGGTATTTAGCCAATACTCGTGCGAAAGATTAGACAATAGAGGACAGGTAGATGTGGTGTACACCGATTTCTCCAAGGCCTTCGATAGGGTCAGCCACAGTATTTTGCTCCAAAAGCTTGAGTACCTGGGCTTCAACAACATTTACTTAGCGCTCTTAACATCATATCTGTTTGAAAGGAAACAGTATGTTTTTATAATGGCTACATATCACATGTTTATGTCTCAACCAGTGGCGTACCACAGGGTTCGAATTTAGGACCACTGTTGTTCATATTGTTTGTGAATGATCTGTGTGAATCTTTGGCTTGTTCTAAGTTAATGTTTGCAGACGACCTAAAATTTTATTCATCCGTTTCGTGCTTGGAAGACTGTGCATTTGTTCAAGGTCAAATAAATAAATTGCAAAGCTGGTGTGCCAAGAATCAACTTCATATAATATAAGTAAGTGTAAAGTAGTAACTTTTTCAAGGAAAACCAACCCAATGGTATATAATTATACAATGATCCAACATGTTCTTGAGCGCAGTGAAACTGTGAAAGACTTAGGTATCTACTTTGATCAACATCTAACCTTTAATGAGCATATCAATCAAATCATATCAAGTGCTTACCGAACCTATGGCTTCGTTATCAGGAATTGTAAATCTTTTGACGTTTTGACTTTGCAGACATTATACTTTAGCTTGGTTAGGTCTAAGCTTGAATATGGATCTTTGATATGGAGTACAAGCAGTATATTGATGTTGTTGATAAACTTCAAAAGAAATTTTTAAAATTTTTATGTTTTAAGATCGA